TATGTATATATATTTTGGTCAAATTTTCAAATGCCTGAGGACAAGGATGCTTGAGAATGGAAGGTGTTGATATATGGAAAAATAAGATGGCTTTAACACGAACACGTGGTACTAGAGACTAAGAGTATGTTTGGTAAAACTTGTAAGTGTTTCAGTTTTTGACGCTATTCATATTTCATAAATTTAAAATTTTCTTTTAAAAACTTACATTTTTTAATTTCTTTTTAATTTTAAAAAGACCTTCAACAATAAATTTTGAAAAGTTTCAAACTTTTGTTTTTTATAAACTTTTTTTTACTCACTTCTTACTTATTTCTTACTATTTCTAAAAACAATTTTTAAAATTTTCTTCCAATAAAAATTTAAATTTATGACTTATAAACAGTACTAAAAAAAATAAAAACTCTAAAAAGCTCCACCAAATAAGCCTTAAAACGGTTGGCTGAGTTGGCAAGCCAAGTAAGATTATTTTTACTAATCTCATTTTATGTATGTTCCATTGTCGTTTACTTAGTAAGTTTAGGGTAGTGTCTTAGGAGAAGTATTTAGAGGCAACTTTTTCCATTTTAGTAGGTGTCTATGACATTAGTTATCTTCTTCTTATTTGTTTCTCTATGTTTCCCCCCTAAACTCTCTTTGTAATTGATATCCATTTAAGTAATATATTGAAAATCATTTTCTTCTTTATTTGATTTCCTTTGTTTTTCTTTACTTTATTTGTCCCAGGCATCATTATCAACTGTAAAATAACTTGCAAAAGATTAAATTCCTATACCTAAACCCTAAAGGAGGATTTTAACAGTAGATACCCAAAAACAATGAAAAATAGAAATCAGAAATCAATCACGAATACTAATGAAGTAACAAACCCTTCTTCATTGAACTGAGAAAAAAATGTAATTGTCACAACTCAGAAGGCCGAGACAGTGAGGGTTGGGACTTGGAAGAGAGGATCGGAGAGAGTGTAAATAATTTCGCCAAAGAAAAAGAAGGTGTGCAAGAGCTGCAGGAGGCAAAGCTTTTCCTGATTTTCTGACCGTTGGAAATAAATAGCTTTTCAAATTCGACTTATTAGCTGTTAATATTTATTCAAGTATTACCTAAAGGACCCTATAATTTTAAGTTGTTTTGATTGCGTCCTCAACCTATTTTGTTTGTTCGTTTTTTTCAAATCCTTAATGCGACATTTGTAAATTTACCTTCTTATATGTACACATACTTTATATATGCCAGTGGTAGGTCATATTAACAATACCATCATAATGAATTTGTAAAAAAATTTATAGAGAATGAATTCACTCATGCACAAATCTTACATATCAAATTTATATAAAATCTTAACCATTTATTTTTTTACTTTTAATAATTGAAATTTATCATGATTTTTTAAATGAAAACAATAATTAACTTTAATAAATATAAATAAATTTTAATCATTGAAAGTGAAGAGATAAAATATTGAAATTTTATGTGTGATATGTAAATTTTGTTTATAAATAGATTCATACTTTTTCATGAATATCTAATATATAAAAATGAAGAATGCTTGATATTTTATTTATCTTTTTCTAATAGAGAATGAATGTGCATGGATGAATTGATAAAGAAAAAGTTTTAAGATATTGGTGAAAGCTAGATTATGTAGTTAGTATGGGAAGCTACCATTTACCTTACATTATCTTTGGTTTGATTCCATTTTTCTTCTCTTCCTTCCTATTATTTGGATAAATGAGTGAATTAAAAGTAAGAACCAAAGTAAAGGAATCCCTCTCCAAATTTTTTACTAATCAAATAGAAGAATTTTCACCTCTCCTCTCCCCTCAAAACAAATATACTTTTAATTGGTTAGAGGGAAATCACAATTCCAAAAGAACTATCTATGTTATGTATTAATACTTTCAATATTATTGAATTTCATCTGAATGGTAATGGTTTCCTGCATTTGTTATTTAGGCAGAACCCTCAAATTCACTCTCAAAAAATATTGGTAGGGACACATCCACTCTTAAAAAAAAAAGGAGGGACAAATTGCACTTCTAAATCATAAATCAATACAAATCACCCATTTTTCAACGTTTTTCGTTAAAAAATGCTGACGTGGCAAACAGAATTCTGACGTTTTTCATTGCCTGATATTTAAGCTACATATTTTCAACTTTACAGCCTTGAAGCAAAGGAAGCTGATTGTCGAATGAGGTTGCTATTGAGCTCTCAATCATATAGTCATCCACCATTGATGCTTCTTTTGACTTTCCCCATAATACAGCATAAAATCCAATGGATATCACCACTGCTCCAATTACACTGAAATATCAAGATCAAACAAGTATTATATGCCTGGAAAAAAAATAAGAATATATATACAAAATTTACTGATTATGAAAATAACCAACATAAGATAATCTTTAGAAGTATATATGGAAAATTTACAGAGCTTTTACTACCTTCCAAGATCCAGAGCATCACCAAGGAACACAACACTCATGAGAGCTGCAACGACAATTGACAAGGGCTTAAAAATTGCTATGTACACAGGTCCCTTCAAATGTAAACCCCATGTGTGTACGGTAGTGATAAATGCTCCAATAAACCCCTAAAAACATAGAAAGGACATGTTATTAAGAACATTACAAGTTACCATATTCTCCATTACCATAAACATATCACCAAACTGTTAAATTCATACCGTGTATATGACTGCAGCAATTGCTACACTAGGTCTTAGAATCCAAGAACTCAGGTTTGGTTCAGCTATGAAGCATACTGGCACAGATATAATGGTTCCACAAATATTGTATAAGAAGACTACCATGAACTCTGCCGGGTAGATCTTCATTGCTTGGGTCTGCAAAGTGGTATTTTATCCAGTTTTGGTTCTTTAAATTTTTGTAGTTAACATAAAAAGTTCTACAATTAATCCCGCGTGATAAACTAATTTTACCTGAACAATGTACCACACTGAAAGAAAAAGGTAATCAGCAGCTAGGAAGAGACCGCCAATGACCCAATTTGACAGTGATGTCCCCAGAGGCCATTGAAGGGAAACGGATGATGCAGAGTAAAAAACAGTTGGGCCTTTATAGAGAACAACCACCAAGGCACCTGATATAGAGATTATAGTCCCTATGATTTTTGCTTGAGTACTTGAGTTTCTGAATGCTACCTTTTCCATCCTTTTGGCATGACATCAAAGAATAAAGGGATTCAGGAGGAGACAAATCTAATAATTTTAGCATCCACTAAATGGACAAACAAGGTTCATCAAAACATAAAATATTAGTATATGATTTGATATGGCATGTCACCCTATCGTATGCTCCCACACACTGACCAAATGATTCCCTTCTCACCGTGGAACATGTGGTTTAAGTGAATTAATCGCAATAATTGAGGGAAAAATGTATAAAACAAAAAAAAATTCCAGCATGTTGCTTTGCACATCACAATCACATTCATCTCCCCTCTACACTATGAATATAGTTTACATCAATGATTCTCTCCTTCAATTAAAAAATGCATAAGCTAACAAGAAAGAAAAAAGTGACTTCAGTGGATGGACTATTGATAGTTGAGGGAAAAAAAAAATCTCTCCATTATGGATGATCAAAATAACTAGAGAAAATGAAGAAACCTGAAAAAAATGGCAATAATGAAGGTAAAAGCAGGTGTGAGGTTGCTGATGGCAGAAGCAAGTGTTGGAGAGCTATACTCTACACCTTTATATCCCAATATCTGGCTGAAAACCCTGGACTCAAAAGGTAAAACAATCTTGGTTTCAATGTCTTTAAATATTCTCTGTTTCAATCTTTACAAGAAGAATGACAGCAAAAATGGCAGACAGATATGGCTTTTGTTTAGAAAATTCTTCAACATACCCAATAAAGCCAAGTAGACATATTCTGGAGATGAGTGGGAACTTGAATGAAGGAAGACCTGCTGAGCTGCAAATGGATACGAAAGACCAGAGGAAAATGTTGGCAACTTTTGATCAAATTTTTCCATAAAGAAATGATTGTTAGAGATGACAATCAGACCTGCGAAAGAGGAAGAGGAAAGGTAAGAGAACAAAATTGGCAATTGTGTAAGCATAGGCAATGAAGACATAAAAGTTCATCCCCTTCAGAGTTGCTGCTTTGAACAGAATGTTGATGACAACATTGAAGCATTCTACTGCAACCATGGCTGCAAATGGCAGCACTTCCCTGGAGCAATACCCCCTTTCCATCTCTCTTTCTCAGTTTCTATTCCTCATGATCAATTTCCATGGTGGGCTATATAATATGTATGAACATCATCACATCTAAGTTGAAGGACAAGATAAAAAAAATCAACAAATTTGCCCAATTTGTTTAATTAGATAAAATATGATCATTGTCACATGTTTTTTGTGGTATGAATGCAATAATGGTAGTTGGCTAGTTGCTGATCAATACTCTATGCATTTAAATCCCAAAACCTGAGCAAAAACTATCCTAGGAATCAAACATTGCCAACCATTTTTTAACATTTATTTTTTTTAATGAAGAAAACAAAACTATATCAACATAGTCAAGGGAATCAAGCAAAAAAAACTATATTTTGCTAACAACAATTTTTTTAGTATTTTGTTCAGGAACTGTGAACTTTGAAGATTGTATTAAGCATCATGTCTGAACCAAACAAGTACACCAATTATGGATCATGAAGAGAATGTAAAATCAACACAGAGGAAATTGGCTTCCATAATAAAGGCTGCAATGACTATGGAAATGGATTGCTAAGATCCACCATGTTTTGTATAAAGCACGGGCCCATTTAGGAAAGCAGCCGAATGCATAGTGGTACTTTACTCCACTCCGGAATTAAATACAGGGTGTCAGCCTTCTGCCTCCGGACGGTAAAGGGCTTGTCGTCTGAATAATCGAAGCCAAGCTTCCAAAAGAATGTCATGCGCGTGCACAGGAGTTGCAAAATCAGAGTTGCAGTTTCTCGCTTTTCTCAAGGAAATTGTGGGTTCAACCATGGTGGGGGACTAGACTAGAGGAAGCGTGTGATGGAGGAAGGTAACATTAAGACAGAAGAGGAGGAAAGATGCCGACTGGGCTTGGGCTTTACTGTTTGATTTTTGTAGCGTTCAATGGTAGGCAGCGACCATTTTTGGTACAAATTGAATATGGGATCTTTTTGGTATTTAATTTAAAAATTTTTAGATATAATTTTTTGATTTAATATTTATATAAATACTTAAAAACTTATATTTAATATTTATGAATAATTTATGAGTACATAGTTATGTATTTGGCTTAAACAAAGAAGAAGTTTAATATAAGATGTTTTAGGTTTGGCTTTGAGTTTATTGTTTATATGAATTGCTATTTTTACGTGTTTAATTTGTTTGGATTATAAACTTTCCTTAACTTTTATTTTTATTTTTTATATTTTATTATTTTTATTTTAAAAATCACTGTGATGATATAAATATATTAAGTATAATAAATATATATAAAATTTTAATTATACAAATAAATAACAAATAAATTAAATAAATCAAATAAATAATTTAAAATTTTTATATTTATTACTTAATTTTGTATAATTTAAATATGAAAATAGTGTTTATCCGCCTTACTTCCTAAAAATTAAGAGAAATATTATTTCAAAATTATATCATTTTAACGAACACTTATTGAAAAAATAAAAATATCATATTTTTAAAATATAAATTATGATATTTTTTATCTTTTTTTTTCACTTAATTTTTTAAAGATAAGATAATTCTTTTAGATATAATACTTATCTGAATAAATAAAATATTTGTAAATAAAGAATATATCGGTAGTCGATACCCACCCCTATTCCGCACTGGAGAGCATTGTCCACTTCGGCGTTTGGTTTGGACGTTGCCACTGAAAAAACAATGAACAGTTTGAGCCTATGTCGAGTGGAGAGTGGAGACCTCAGAAGTATCGGGCTGAGTTGATGAATATTCTATATTGGTTTTGGTTACCAGTCCACTCCAAATAAATAAGTACTAATTTTTAGGTGGAAGAGAGAAGGGAGTAAAGCAAGG